CCTGATGCTTGAAGCACAGCTGAGAAACCCCTCGTTAGTGAGAATCTGCAAATTTCTCTTAATGTAACGATCCCAGCTTTAAACAATAGCACCTATTTGTAGTGCAAAGTCATGCTCCTTGAGAAGCGTGGCTCTTTTTGACTTGGTGCTCTATCCTCTCGACGCATGCAGTATCAATCCCTGCTCTGCATAGTATTGCATCAAAGATGCATGAGCCTACAGATCTCAGTCAGCTCAGTTAATTCCATGTGTGTCTACTCTCTCTGTAGGCCATGAGGGCCATTGCCATTGATGGAAGATCACAGAACGGCAGGGGTTGGAAGGGACCTCAGGAGATCACCCAGTCCAACCCCCCCCCGCCCAAGCAGGCTCACCCAGAGCAGGGGGCACAGGACAGCGTCCAGGCAGGGGTTGAGTATCTCCAGAGAAGAGCAGCCTGTGCCAGGGCTTGATCACCCTCAAAGTCAAGTTCTTCTTCTTTATGTTCAACTGAAACCTCTTCTGTTTCAGTTTGTGCCCATGGCCCCTTGTCCTGGTGCTGGGCACCACTGAGAAGAGTCTGGCTTCATCCTCGTGACCCCCACCCTTGAGATATTTGTTGGTGTTGATGAGGTCCCCTCTCAGCCTTCTCTTCTCCAGGCTGAACAAGCCCAGCTCCCCCAGCCTTTCCCTCATAGGGGGTGTTGGCTTCTAGCTGCAGGAAGAGTAGCTGTTGCTGGACCTAGTGAGTGTGTCTTACGAAGAGCACATATAAGGTGGAAACTTTAATTTTTTTTTTTAAACAGGTAAAATATAGATATGAGTTTTGGAGCCTTCTTTTTGCGCCTCTGTAGAACTCTGAACCTAGCCAGATTGCTAGCTCCACGACAGTGTGCTTGAGAGTTCACTTTTTCTTGGGGTAGTATAGAAAAGTGATGGCTTTTCTCGTCATATTAGAGAGTTTGTGGGCTATTGCTGTGCACTTAAATCCCTGGATTCTAGAAAACATGGGGAGAAAGAGATGGCTAGAACAGTGGCTTTAATACTCGTTAGCTGGTGAGAATTTTGAGGGAAATTTTTGCAGTAAATGTGTGTGGTTAAGGGAGCATCTTTATCAAGATAAAAATAACTGGATGAGAAGACTTAATTATTATGCACTGAATACAGGAAAATACGGCCATTGCGTCGGTCCCCTGGGTATAACCAAGCACAGAAAATTCTGCAGGCTCTTTTCTACCTCGTTGCTGCTTCTGGAAATGTCCAGAAGAGGTCACTGTGCCCTCGCTTTTAGGTTTAATCGCAGAAAAACCTTTCCAAACGTATGTTTTTATTTAGAAAATGCTGAGCTGTCTGGAAAGTTTGATCAAGAGGGATGCAGCTGTATTAATGTGCTTCTTCCTGGGGATTTGAATGCATTTTCTTAGCAGTGTAGGGGAACCAGGGATCAGGGAGACAATATGCAGGCAAACAGCTCTGCTGGCCACGTCGTCAGGGCTTGAATATTTAAAAACTCATGTCACGGGATTTTAACAGCGCAAATTTGGGTTTATGATTGACAGTATTAGTCAGACTGAGGTTTCTCTCTGCACTGGGACAAATCCATGAGCACCCTGGAGCTGCTCCAGGCTAACACAGAAGTACTGGGCCATGTCTCTGCCGGCAGTCGCTGATTTGCTTTCTCACTTAAAGCTTTCAGGCTCAGTTCTCTCTGATCCCTATGAAGGTCACTGGGATTGCAGCAGTGCAGCCGAGCCTCGTGCCTTCTGGAATAAGGAATATCGCCAGCATCTGCAACCAAGGATCGGCTTCTGCTCGGCTTTTGCTCCCCAAAATGGTCACCGACAGATTTTGCCTGCCTGTGGCCAGAACATCCTCAGACCTTATCGTTATTTAGACCATTATTAGACCTTACTGCCCTCTACAACTGCCTGAGAGGAGGATGTAGTGAGGTGGGTGTTGGTCTCTGCTCCCAGGGAAGGGGCGATGGGACGAGGGGCACCAGCCTCAAGTTGTGCCAGGGCAGGGTGAGGTTGGCCATGGGGAACAATTCCTTCCCCTTGGGGCTGTCAGGCACTGGAAGGGGCTGCCCAGGGAAGGGGTCGAGTCCCCAGCCCTGGGGGGATTTAACAGCCGGGCAGGAGCGGTGCTGAGGGCCAGGGTTTGGGGGTGGGATGGCAGGGGTAGGGGAATGGTTGGGCTGGGGGAGCTTAAAGGGCTTTTCCAACCAAATGATTCTGTGATTCCAACATCAGGGCCCCATAGCTGTACGTGGGTCTGACACTCGTCTGCATTATACCTCCACGCTCCCAGGTACATGTAAATGAAGTACTTCTCAGCGCCTGGTTAGGATGTTCAGCAGTGCATCTGCAAGCTCTCTGCACGGCAGCAGGCTTTATCATCTTTAGTTGGAAATGAGTCATTTCCCTGTACTGTTACAGAGATGCCCAATTTCCTTGGAAATTGTTCAGTTCTGCAGAGTCCCCAGAAATTGCTGATTATTGGACTCTCATTCTCGCACTGTCTTAATAGATGCTCGGGGATGTTTCACAGGTTAGAGTAATTAAAAAAAAATAAAATGGATAGAAGCAACTGAGACCTTACCCGGTTCATATTTAGTCTGAAGGGCAGGTGAACCACTGGCAACTCATCATGTAGCCCCAAATCAGAGCTGAGCAAGGTTGAATGAAGATTAAAGCCTGTTAAATGAGAAAGGACTGCTTTCACACTCGTGTTAGCCGACTGGCTGGAATGGCTGCAGTTCCAGCTGTGTGGACTTAGGCTGTCTTGTACATGGCAATTGGAAATGAGGTGCAGACGGGAGCCGCTCTGCAGCACCCTACGAGCCATGGGTGAAGGGTGGTGGTCAAGGAGGGCTTTGAGGTTGGCAGGGTGGGCTTGTCGACCCTCCCCTACAAGAACTGCGAGGACAAGGAGGATGGAAGAGGTGTAGCATTAACCCTAGCAAAGAGGCACAGTGGCTCAGCAGAAAAGCAACCGCAGAGCAATGCACTTTTAGATCTACGTATCCAACATGCTAAATATTATCACCAGCAATTTCACTTGCCTGTTCTGAGAGCCATATGCATCTTAAAAGTCTTCAGAGACTGGGGGGGGGGGGAAACAATTGGGTCTGTTTACAACACGCTGATCCAGTCTCTTTGGCATTGCTGGAAGCCTGTGCCCAAAAGCCAGCCCATTCAACAAGGTAGCGACGCAGGAAAAAGGGCTGTGCAAAGGGTAAACATTTTTGCTATCCCACAGTAACCAGGGCCTGCCTCGCCTATCCGCTTGGGACAGGAGCTTGTCAGCGGGATGGCTGTAGTTATTACCATAATACAGGAAATAATAGTCATGGGGAAAACACGAGCGTGCTCTGGTTTCCTCTTCTGCCCCGGTCGGAGGGGCGGAAGGAGAGTGGAGCTGTCACGGAGGCGTTCCTCTGGCAGCCACGCGCTCCTCGGGGTTTTGTATTCCGGGTGGCAGCCGGGAAAACCAATTTTTGTCATTTTAAGGTTTCCCTTTGCTTTCTGAAATCCCAGCTCTGGCCTTCCCTGCTAATGCATGTGGAAAGGACTCAGCTGCCGCGGATGCTGTAGGTTGGAAAAATCTCCTGATTTCTGAGGAAAAAAAAGGCTGAAAAGCATCCAAAGTGCATTTAAAGGAAATTTCATGAGATTTGAGCTAAACTAAACTTCTCTGAAGCCTGACCCAAGGGTTTTGGGCTCTTCGGATGAGCTGCGCCGCTGCCTATGATCATCTCGCCGCAAGCTGCGTTGAGGTACTGGAGCAGGGAAGAAATGTAATTTAGTAGTAAATCTAAGGTGCAGGCTTTACAAAACCAACTGCTAGGTTTAAAGCAGTCAACAAGTTTTGAGGGCTGGGGATAGGGCTAGTTTATTTTTAGCTTTGAGGCACTCGCAGGGCCCGGGTGACAACCTAGGACAAGCCCAAAATGTCACGGCGGGGGAGTTTTATCGTTATGACACGAAAATGTCAAGTTCAAGCGCGGTATTTCGAAAATAAATGCAAATAGCCGACGCCGGGCGCGGTGAGGCGCCAGCGCGGGCCGCGGCTCCTC